CGACCGCATTTAGTTGCTATGGCAATTGCTAGCCGCGGGAAAAAATCGCGAATATTAGCAGCCGCGAATACGGTATTCAATTATTCATGCTGATCACGTGCGCATAAATTAAAATGGCGTCAAACCATAAACCCACGCGGTGTCTGCAGCTGGATTCTGTCTTCCATTTTGTTCTCTGTCCTCGCTTCTTTTTGAAGCCACCTTTGTGGTCCTTGACCCAAGCCCAGAGGAGTGATGCAAAAGCCAACTTGAGCGGTTCTCTAGTTTAAAAGATTATCCGGTGCATAGAAGAAACTGATGAAAGAAGAAGAAAAAGTCTGAAGAATTAATTTTGCAGAAATTTGCCAATTTGGGCCTATTCTCCAGAAATGCTACCGCTACATTACAGTCCATTTCAAAGGTACCAGGAGAATCGTTCAGTGAAGGAGAGCTCATCTAAGCCATTTATAAGGCTGTACAACCTAAGATAAAAGAGTTATGAGTGTTTAAAAATCATAAAAACCGTCGCCATCTTGAAAAACCAACCTCAATCCTACATATAGGCTACCGCCTATATAATAATAATAACAATTATTCAATTAATAATGTATTAATATACATGTACCGTGTGTGCATACTTTAGCCAGGTTGGTTTCCAGGTTTATTATTTGATCTGCTACTTGTTCAAATCCACTACCAGCAGCAGCAGCAGCTGCCTCAGTCCCTCCATTAGTATTATTAATCAATGACAGTATCAACAGTATAAACTTGGAATAGTTTACATGTATATATTAATATAATTATTATTAAAAGGCCACACCCAGTCCATTACTTACAATCTTACCACATTAACAGCACTGGGATCAGTACAGGAATCAGGACTGGTAGCGTCAGTCCAGACTGGGACAACTGTCAATTAATTATTAATAGTGACCACACCCACTTATTAGTCCTATTCCCTACCACTGGTATGTATTGTGATGAGTTCTTGTCATTTACTGAAATACCAAAAGAGAAGAACCTGTTATTACCATATGACATTGAGGACCTGAAATCAGCTGGGAATAACAAACACTGGGGGGGGCAGAGCCTAACAATAATAATAACAACAACTACAATAATAATAATAATAATAATAATACTGATATACATGTAGTGTATACCTGTAATGCTGGCCCACTTCATGACAAAGAGCTATTGTCTATTGTGTGGATAATAATAACTTAAAATAATCATTACTGCAGTAATGTAACAGTAGATTAGAGCCAATGG